GGTGGTAAAATTTTATTTAAGATGGGGTCGTCTTTTAATAAGTGCCAATTAGAGTTGAGCGAACCCAGACTGTAAAGTTTGGGTTCATACCGAACATTACGTTTTTTGGACCCCGGACCTGAACACGGACATATCACTGTATTGGAGTTGGAGTTCAGTGTTCGTGATTTAATGGCGCGTTTTGAAAGGCTGCAGGGCAAGTTTGACTCGTGTGCCCTTAGAAGCCATCACAGCCATGCCTACTTATGGCATGGCTGTGATTGGCCAGCGCAGCATGTGACCCAGGCTCTATATATAAGCTGGAGTCGCGTAGCGCCGCACGCACATGGGCTCTTATTAGTGTAGGGAGAGGATGCTGCCGTTTTCAGGGACAGATTAGAAAATAATTTTGCTAAACTAGTACATTAGTGGTTTGCACTTCATATCTGAGAGTCAAATAGAAGCATCAAATACTGCGGTTACAGCGCAGTTGTAAAAATTCTAATTGTTTTGGTGCTAAACAGTAAATTTGGGGCGTGCTCTTCATATCTGAGAGTCAAATAGAAGTGCCAAATACTGCGATTACAGTGCAATTATAAACATTCTTATTTTCAGGGTGCTAATCTGCTAAATAGTAAATTTGGGCCCTGAACTTCATATCTTAAAGTCAAATAGAAGCGTCAAATACTGCAGTTACAGCGCACTTGTAAAAATTCTAATTGTTTTGGTGCTAAACAGTAAATTTGGGGCGTGCTCTTCATATCTGAGAGTCAAATAGAACCGTCAAATACTGTGGTTACATCGCACTTTCAAAAATTCTAATTTTTTTTTTTGGTGCTAAATAGTACATTTGCGGCCTGTGGTGCATTTCTTGCAGTCCAAAATTAAAAAAAAACAAAACGTTGACTATTGGCGCTTACATTGTCGCCTGACATAAAACATCTGTTAGTTTGGTGGGTGAACGCAAACAATGAGGAGAGCGTCAAATAAGGGACGTGGCCCTGGTCGTGGTGCTGCTGTTGTTGGTGGAATCCCTGTTGCAAGGAGAGGACGTGGTCAATCTGTGCCAGCTACACGCACAAGTGAAACACCTTTCTCATGTGTGAGTACACGACAGAACCTTCAGCAGTATTTGGTAGGCCCGAATGCCGCTCTACGAATGGTAAGGCCAGAACAAGTACAGGTGATAGTAGATTGGATGGCTGACAGTGACTCCAGTTTCTACACATTTTCTCCCACCGGTCCCCTGCTGAAAGCTCAGAGTTGGCACCTGCAGCCCATGGCCATCTGTCTTTCACCTCACCCCCTTACAAATCAGCCAAGCAGTCTGAGCCACAAGTCATGCAGCAGTCTCTTATGCTTTTTGATGACTCTGCTGGCGGGGTTTCCGTGGGCCATCCACCTAGCCCTGCCCCAGAATTGGAAGAGATTGAGTGCACTGATGCACAACCACTTATGTGTCAGGATGTGGACATGCAAGGACCACCGCAGCACGGTGGCTTTCAGCAGTGTGCAGACCAGCAAGGAGGGCATGGTTGAGGAGTGGGTGGAAGATGCTGTGGAGGATGATGAGGTCCTAGACCCCACATGGAATGATGGTCATGCAAGTGACATGTCCAGTTTGGAGGAAGAGGCGGTGGTCGCACAGAGGCACCAGCACAGCATAAGAAGGAGCAGGGTGCAAAAGCGGAGCAGCCGTCCTAGACGGTACACCTGCTACTGCCCACCGCACCCAGGGACCGAGCACACCAAAGCCAGCTCCAAGGAGTTCCCTGGCGTGGCAGTTCTTCAGACAATGTGCTGACGACAAGACACGAGTGGTTTGCACGCTGGGCAATCAGAGCCTGAAGCGAGGCATAAACATGCTAAATCTGAGCACAACCTGCATGACCAGGCATCTACATGCAAAACACAAGCTGCAGTAGAGTAAGCACCTAAAAAAACAAGAAAGGTCTCAGGCTCCTCCTG